AATTTTCCCTCTGCTATTAATTAATCCACAAACCAGAATCATTGGCATCCATTCATATATAACATAGTTTCTTCTTGTACTCTGTGCCCCCATGTCTTGGCAGGAAGAATTGGCATATTCTTATGACGCGGTAATTCAAGTGAATGAGATGACACGACAACAGCATTTTTTTCCCTAAGTCATATAGTGATAAATATTTTTTTTTTACACTGGTGAAGCAACAATTTTTTTTTTGAAGAACCCTTCACTTCACAATTTTTTTTTTTAATTCTGACCTCCCCCCCAAAAATCAAATGGTCCAACCCTAAGTGAATACTTCTAACAGCCTTTGATAATACCGGTATTTCCATAATACTGTAGGCCAGTTCCCTAGCAGACACTTTCCCATCCTCACTACCAATGATTTCCTTAAGGGACTGTAATTCTCTTGATTCCAGCATCTGGTCACTTAGATGAAAGATATTGTGTGTATGATAAAGTTTACTTGTTTCAGTCATTGCATACGAGTGATCTGTACAAGAGACTTCCAATAAAACTTCAGGTGCGTTGCTGAAATTCAGAGACAATTTTTTTTCTTGAGGTACTGCCCATCAGTTCTCTGACATCTTTGCTTTTTTTCTTTTTTAACTCTGGTGACACCAAATGTTGTATTACTCTTTTATTCCTGCATAATGAAAGTTATTCACATACTTGAGAACAGCTATCCTTCAGTTCACGTATCTTCAACACCAAATTAATGCAGCCATCACAAAGATATATTTTCACACCTTTAAGATCAACTTTAATATCCAACACTTTCAACAAATCCATATAAGTCTTTGCCAGTGCTGCATTCCTGCCAAGTAAACGTAAATGCCCCTTTGGCGATTTTCCACACGAGATGCACATTGCTGCCTGTGCAATTTTCATTGGGGTGAATTGGTTTTTGCAGTAACTTTTAACATCCTAAATAACAAACATATATAAGTATAACATTAGAATCATCAAGTATATAGAGGTAGATATTTGCTACAGAGTTTGACTCTTTATTTACTTCCTTCCCTTGACGAAAATCATAAAAGTAACATAATATAAAAAAGGCTGCAATGTTGATAACCACAATTTACAAAATATACCGAAACTAAAATGTAAAAAATGTGATGCATCTAATCAAGCAGCATAAATACTTAATAATAAATATGATACATGATAATTATTAGTACTGCACAAAAAATATACATTTTATTGCTAGCTTTACAGATACTGCTAGAATGTTGTAGTTCTGGTAAATGCAATGCCTATCATGTAATGCTCCAAATGCGGAAGTGTCCATCGTCGAAACACACACATTAGGATAAAACACATTGTAAATGACATTGACTGCACTAAATAATTCTCTCCGAGTTCTCCTTGAACCTGCATTGTGTTCAAATGTTTTTTGCGAGGACAAAGAAAACTCGCAGAGACAAAATATTTGGTAAAATTTGAATAGCAGTGGGCGAAGATTATCTTACCTTGGAGGCCGCCATTTTGGAAATAGTTCCGACCACTTTTCCCATAGTTACACGCGCGGTATGTGTCAGATCGGTTGGTTTGCGGCGATCTGCGTGTCAATGCGATCAGATACTAAAACGTCATAGCTTTGAAAAGTACCCGGATGTTAAATATGTTCGTTCGTTATTTATTCCCCTCCATGAATGGCCTCCATGGTGTTTAATTGCAAGCACTTCAAATGTCTATCCAAGCTACAGTTATAATTAAAACAAAATTAAACCACTGCAATATTATTTCGAATACAGTTTAGAATATACACAACTATAAATTAAGGCCGCATTTAGGTTCGCTTTAATAAAAACCATGCAGTGAACAAGAAAAAAAATACTGTCCTATCGGTTGACTTTCTCAGGTACAAATAATATTTGAATCGATTACAGATTAATTATTTGATCAGGTTAAGAAACACTGACATTTTCGTACATACTGTCAAAAAAACTGGTTAATGGTGGTAGATATTAACAAAATAAAGATACCAATGTAAGTGATATTAATTAATTGAATGACACTGACCCAGTAGAGGGTACGTTTGATTTACGTGCTTCCTGTATTTATATGTAATATTGAGACACCAACCTTCAACCACAGGCAAAGATTGTTAGTTGACGCTCTGTGTAAAGAAATTCAAGCAGTGAAATTGAAAAAAAAACAAAACAAAACACATATACAGCCTCCATAAATCGCGTATTACACTGTTTCCAGTTGTGCAACGTACACGTTATTCTGATCAAGTTGTGTTACTATAAACTTGAATCTTGAACATTGAGTATATACATGTATCTGGTCTTCAATTATATTCATTAACAACAGACATTTAACAGAACAGTTGATATGGTGTTTACGCTGGTCAACCTGTCCATAAAACTGTAAACTCAATGTTAAAGAAATGTTTAATTAATAACTTTCATCTCTACCTTCTCCTCTATTTGTAGGAGCAGCAACGGTGAATTATTTACAAACAAAACTGGAGCAAAAATTGTTAATGAATCAAAATGGGAAATATCAAATATAGTGTGAGTATTATTGTATAGCACTTCCAATGCAATTATGTTATTTTAAACATTTAAAACATGCGATAAATTATTTGTGCATTGTCACCAGCCTCAAGTGATCAAGTTTGAACATACACACAGACAGAAGACGTTTATACAGGTTTGTTGCGCGTCGTATGCGTGTCAATTCAGTAAAGGCAAATTAGATATTTTGACTCAAATATTTGTACGGGGATACATTTTGCGCGTAGCTACGACCAACACGTTTTCGGTCGTTATTATGGCAACAGTAGGAGAGAACTATTTTTTTTCAAATTTGCCTACCTTTTTAGAATGAAGGTGTTACCTGCCTGTTAAGTTTGACCAATGTTGCCCTCCTCAAAAAACACAATCACAGAAAAATTAAAAAGCTGTTCCTGGCGAAAAGTTACCCCAACTTCAAGGTCAAATTTTTAGGCAATGAAAAACTATAGAAACAAAACCAATAGTAACTTTGCTTCACGCTCAAGTTAAATAGAATGACCTATTCTGTTTTTTTTACTGCACAATTTGTAGTAGAAGATACATTTGAAGGTATTTATAATGTGTGTTTCAGCTGTTGCCGTGGCAATGGTGAACCAAGAATTTGTTTCAGATTTCACCACCTAAACTATAGGGTGAAGGTGCGACCTGTCTGGCAAGCTAGAACTAAATCGCTCCAGCAAAAAAAATCACAGAAGATTTAATGCGTGAAAATGACACATACATACAAACAAGCCGGTAGGCTGGTTGGTGATCCGCTCCGCTCAAAAAACAAACAAACAAA